GACGGTTACTCTTGGGAAGATGACGATAAAAGAGGAAAACCAAGTGAGAGTTGGGCGCGCATATGTGGAGTTAAAAAAAGAGATATAATTAGTAGTTATTTGAACGAACGATAGTAGTGATATTTCATAAGTGAGGTAGGACTAAAGAGGAAGTTATGACTTATGAGTATTATTTGATTAGAAATGAAGAATGGTTTATCAATCTTTTTTGGGTTTCGAATCACATTAGAAGTTCTATAACCTTCCACCATGTTGACAAAGGGTAACCAATGGGTTGGGTCATCCAGTCAATGGTTAGGCCCAGGCTTGACCATGGGTAACAAAACTATTTGAGAAGCAATGGAGTGTGGTTTATCAAACTTTTTTGGGTTTCGAATCGTATCAGAAGTTCTATAACCTTCCACCATGTTGACANGTTAAAAAAGAGGTTAAATTTAGCTCATCAATTTAGTCTGGTCCAAAGTTCAAAGAATCTAAGAAAATCAATGTACGTGGAGAGTAAGAATCGAGATAATTGCTATTCGAAAATCAAGATTATTTTTAATTGTACCTATTTTTAGCTATAATTATCCTCCTCAAAAGATTAGACACTTACCCATCACGTCACTGCATCAACAAAGACTTTGTGCTTATAAATTATAAGCCACACATTTCTACGTACCCCTACACAAGCAATTTTTCTCGTAGCTACCAAGAGCATATCTTTGCTTTCTCTATGTCTCTCTCACCTATTATTTCATTAATAAGGACAGCCTGTTGGCAAGTCCTGGTTTTAATTATCTTTTTGCTCAAATTTTTATGTTTTGCAGATTTAAAAAAGACAGGCACCCACCCCCAACTACCCTATAAGAGAATGATATGTCGTCTGTGAATGAATTGCTGGAGTGGCCTCAGATATTCAATCTTCTTAACAGAAATAGAGGCTCTCATTAAGTAGCCTTTATAAATGTCTTTGAAGCTTTGATCATTTGTCCCTCCACGGGCCCATAACTTTACTGAACATACTTTCACCAACAAGCCGTGTGATCTTGTGGTGCTCAGCGCTCTGTTAAGGGTCTTGCTTGAGACATGCAAAGACTATGTCTCAGATTTGATTCACAGGAAGCAGATTGTTGAGTTGCTTTTAGCAGTTTAGTGGGGTTGCGATTTGACTATAACCCATGTCGTCCTTAGAGAGCGCCTGCATATTTCCCCCGTCAAGGCCCCTCTGGAGGCTTCTCAAGCGAGTAAGGCCTGCTATGGTCCCGTCGTTGTAAGGATTTCTACATCTGGTCATCCTCCTTATACCCTCTTTACACAACAAAAAAAAAAAAATACTTTTGGAATTAGACATGCACCAATGGCAAGTACTTATCTGTCTAAAAACGATAAATCACACNGGGGGGGGGGGGGGGGGAATACTTCTGTACTTGTTATGTTTTGTTTTTTCCAAAACATTGATATCATTTTACCCACGCATCAGTATCACAAGATATCACAGATTCCAATTATATTATAAAGTCAGATCTTCTCAATACAGGTATGATTCGATTTTTTGTTCTGTTAGTGGAGCATATTTTCAACTGCATGACTAGAATCCAACACTAGACAGGTCTTAATTACATAGTAGGGACCTATACAGACGGTTACTCTTGGGAAGATGACGATAAAAGAGGAAAACCAAGTGAGAGTTGGGCGCGCATATGTGGAGTTAAAAAAAGAGATATAATTAGTAGTTATTTGAACGAACGATAGTAGTGATATTTCATAAGTGAGGTAGGACTAAAGAGGAAGTTATGACTTATGAGTATTATTTGATTAGAAATGAAGAATGGTTTATCAATCTTTTTTGGGTTTCGAATCACATTAGAAGTTCTATAACCTTCCACCATGTTGACAAAGGGTAACCAATGGGTTGGGTCATCCAGTCAATGGTTAGGCCCAGGCTTGACCATGAGTAACAAAACTATTTGAGAAGCAATGGAGTGTGGTTTATCAAACTTTTTTGGGTTTCGAATCGTATCAGAAGTTCTATAACCTTCCACCATGTTGACAAAAGATCACCAATGGGTTGGGTCATCGAGCTGAATCTAAATATTTACACATAAACGAGTCTAATATGTCGAACGAATCAAGATTGGACGGACATAAAAAAAGCCGAACTAGAATAATTCGGTTTGATTATCATCTCTAGGCCCAAACTTGACTGGATTGCCAGATCATTGGCTAGCTTTGGAAAAAATAAAAAGGATTTTTGTAGTCCAGTATCCTATATAGGACTTGTTTTTATAAAAGTCATTTGATTAAAATGTTTTGCGGAAAAATCCTCATTTTTTTTGTTCCAAAAAACCCACATAGGTGACTGAACAGACGTTTGTGTGTCTTTGGAAACTATCAGATTCCATTCACTATCTTCACAAAATCCAGTAACTAATCAAGGCCCCAAAACTCAAAATTTGAACAAAACTTTCTCAAATTCCTTCAATTTTCAACCATACACAAACCACGGTCCTCTAAAAATAAATTAAGAGTTTCCTATTTTAATGGGACAATGAATGTAAATTTTAAACAACATTTTTTTTGACTTTTCTAAAATCTTTCACATAGCTATAATTTATCTTCCTTACGTTTGTATATAATTGAACTTATCTAAAATTCTCTTCTCCTCTAGTAACAGTAAATTCTAGTCTAAAATCTCTCAATTAATTAACTAAAATTAGTGTCACTTTACATTGTTATACTATGATGTAACACTGCCATTTATTAAAAGTGTATATGCATGTCGCATTTGTGATATCACATTTTCTGATACATACTATTTAGATTGAAGTTAATTTTACAACTTTTTGTCAGTGATTAAAGTGTTAATGAAGATATTATATTGTCATGCATGTATCACTTTAATGTCACATCACAGATGATGATGACCCCAACTTTAAAATAGACGTTGGTTTTGTTTAGATTTTGCGTCGTTTATGGATGATTTAGATGTTCAAAATTTAGAAAAAAAAAAAAAGAAAGAAATTTTCTAGACTAGGAAACTGCCTATCGATGAAATCAAATCTCCATATAAAAAGTAATTATCAAATATACGAACACCATAAAAATAGAGAAAGGATATTATAGTAAAGAGAAGAATAAAAATAGTGTATCTCTCTACAATACACTTCAATTTAGTGTTACTTATCTACGACACATTTTTTTCAAGGTTTTTTTCATAAAAGATTCCAAATGAACCGCCTCCAAAAGTAGTTTAGGAGGATTCCAAATGAACCGCCTCCAGAATATGTCCCATTGATATAAAGTGGTGATTGAGGGCGAAATAAACTAGTTCAAGCTTAGTTCTCCGGTGAAAAATAAATTCCTCCATGTTTATAAGATGTTGTGACCAGCAACATTAAACATATATTTGAAACACATAGTATAATAAATAGAATTTTTTGACAAAAATTTTTTGTAATTATTGTGTCTGTTTGAATTTTTTTTTTTTTTTTTTTTTTTGGTGAGAAGCTGTGGTTTGAAAAGTTTTGTAAAAAAATTAGAATTAAAAAAGTTTTTCAAAATCGTTTGGAGTGTTTTATAAAAAGTTAAAAAAAGTTGAAAAAGTCTGTTTGAAGTGACTTTCGAGTTTTTTTTTGTTAAAATACAAAAATAATTACATATATGTATAAATTAAGTATAGTAGTTCTCAAAATATGAATTTCAAATTTTTTACGCCACTAATAATATTTTATGACTATAATAAACTAAAATCAGTTTAAATATACTTTTTTACTTGACTTATTTTATAGTAAATCCTTTAAAAATGACCTATTTAGGCTTGCTCTAAACATGCCAATAGTACATATGTTAATGAACTTTCTTCACACTCCCCCACAAAGTGCCTATAAGACACGGAGCTATGTGATAAAAAAAAAAAAAAGAAAAGGGAATAAAAAGCAATCATAGATAAGATTTGACTTTGTCCGAATTAAAAGCCAAACTTCCAACATTGCCTATCTCTACTTAATGGTTACTCCTCAATAACAAATTTTTTTTTTCTCTCTCCTCGGTGGTAATCTATGAAACACGAATACGGATACGCGTATAAAATATGGGTATGATACAGTACAAATATGATAATACGACAAAGTCTAAAAAAATAAGATATTGGTACGACTAAAATACGGCTATAATAAAATATTTTTAATATTTTTAACCAGTTTAATACTTATATATTTTGATAGTTATGCAATATACAATAAGGAAAATTAATAATTTTTTTTAATTTTAAGAAAATATATATTGTATCGCTGTAGTATATTCACAAAATAAAGTGACTAATTAAAGGAATCAAATATAATATTTACCTATTATTTAAAAGTAATTTTTGCAAAGATAATAATGTAATAGATTTATTTTATACTCTTTCTACATGTAATTATAAATAATACTTAAGAAACACTCATGTGTCTTTGAAATAATATGATTTTTTTGTTAATGTGCTGTATGATATGTGAATTTGAAAAGAGATGTTAAAAGTTTAACTCAAAAAATTATATATGTTGCTCGACCACAAAAGTATCTGCGAAGTATCATAATATTTAATTATTATCGGATACGTAGAAAGTGTATCCGATACGTATCTTCGAATATTCGACGAGTACCATATTTGATACGGCATCGGATACGAGTACGTCAATTTCATCTAAATATCATAGTTCATAGGTGATAACACAACCATCTTCATCATCCCTTCATAGCATAAAGTTCCAAGCGCAAACAATATGGGTTCCATGGCATTTCTTTTTCTTGATTGTTCTTCTCAAATCCCCTACGTAGTATTGGTTTTGCATAAGAAAAATGTCGTCATCGAGATCTAACAAAAGACATGATATCCTGATCTTATAACGTGTCAGTTAAAATAGTCCAATAATATTATATGTAAATACCACTGCTGACATTAAGAATGTGTTAAGAGTATTAGATGTACTTATGACCATATATATTTGTGCTAACATGCAAATTCATTATTCGTGTAGCTAACGGGACGAATGGGGTAGATGATGCTAAGTATCTTGGTGGTGGATATGGCGGCAATCCAGGCGGAGGATATGGAGGCTACCCAGGTGGTGGATATGGAGGAAACCCTGGTGGAGGGTATGGAGGATACCCAGGTGGTGGATACGGAGGAAACCCTGGTGGTGGCCGTGGGGGCGGAGGTTATTGATATTATGGTTGTGGACGTTGGTGCTGCTCTTACGCTGGTAAGGCCATGGATGTGGAGCTTGAAGCAAAACCTCACAACTAAAGCAAATAATAATAAATACTTCACAAGAAGCATGAATAAAAGCATCAATGGATCACCATTGGTGCGCTCTATATGGATGGCTATGTTACTTTATCTGTAGTTGAGATCGTATCTATATGTCTGCGTGTTTGTTTAAATCACTTCCGTGATAGTGATAAGCTTTAATGTATTTGAATTTGTTCTTATGCTAAATCATAGAATCATTGCTAGTAATGGAAACCATGGAATTATGATTATCATTGGGAGAGACTGTCGGTAAGAATCTATGCAACTATAATTCAAGATATCGGTCGATAAAAATACTAGTTAACCGAGTCATGATCAACTCCTCAACTTTCTTTTGGATAATATTCCACGTCTTTTGTAACCTTCTTTTGTGTTGGTTTCTTTCTAAATCTCTTGGTCAATTTCCTTAATTTTGTACAATCATACTAGTTATTGTTCGTGTCTTAAGACACGGATAAATAACAAAAATTGTCAATCATAAATATATTTATATTTATACCAAAAATTAAATTATAAACGTAGAAAAGAAAAAGAAATTTAATTGATGGGGTTAGGATTGTCGCTCCAATCTAGAATCATCAGCTAGCAACAACCTTTGCCACACATTTGACTTTGTTGAGCTAATAATTTTTTCTGACCTCCAATTTCTAATTCCTTTCCTTGTTTAAAGGACAAAACTACATTAATTACCCCAAAATAAACTTCAATATCGACCTAAATTTTATTACTTTTGTGGATTTTGGTATAAAATTTGAAGTTTGTTTATAACAACAAAATTTATAATTTTTTGGGTCAAGTTATAACTTTTAAGGTTTCAACTATAAATTTTTTTGGCCAATTTACAATTTTTTTTAATATCATCCCAAGTTACCAAAAAATTATAAAATGACCATAAGAAATTATAAAAATATCCATAAATTTGTAATGGCGGTACGATACCAAAATTAAAGAAAAATAAAAAGTTCCAATCTCTTTAATTAACAAAACTAATGATTTTTACCAATTAAATTTTAAATTAGATGCAAGTAACATTATTATTAATCATTATACACCTTGCAGACATGTTTTAATAAGTTTTGAACATATTATGGTCATTTTGTGATTTTTTAAAAAATATAAGGTTGTTTTATTATTTATATACTACTATAAAATATCAACAAAAGTAATTTTTTTTTGTTGACTCTAATAACATTCATAATGTAACTAATACCAAAATTATCTTTTTAAGTTTTGTAAGAGATTTAAAATCTGTACTATAATGACTCTTTCGGTATTAGCAACCTATCAATTTAACTCTCTTCCTCTCTCTTTTAACATGTTGATTTTTGGCTTTTGGTTATCTTTAACCCAAGCATTGCAGAGTCCATTAACTCTCTTCAATTTCCATAATCAATAGCTACTACTTAATGGGAAATACTACATAACCTAAATTTATAATCTAAATTTGTATTCCAAATGAACGGGAATCATTGGGAGTGAGTCCTATAAACTTGTTTAAATGAGACACGCTGATCCAATGGTGCTTTATTGATTTGAGATGCAAATATAACTTACAAATTTGGGTTATATAGCATTACTCTATAAAACAAGGCTGACTTCAATAATTTCATCCGACGATTTCAAATAGACTCATCAAATAACTACCAATCTTCCTCTCAAAACTATTCACAACTATTCACATTAAACCGAGTCTTTAAGCACAAGTTATCCTTAGTTAATATATAAGTTACAGCTTAATCTATTTGACATGCTTTCTCATTTTATTTATAAACAATAACCATTGCATTTTTTTGAAGACTTGACGTGTAGAATGAAACCCCACATACTCCATTTTTTTGGGTGGTGCATCAAGATTATGAGACGTAATGTCTAGATGGCTTTTCTGAAGAAGAACACCACAAGTAACAACTTCAATCCATTCCATTAAGTGGGATGATTTAGTGGGGTATTAGTCAAGTTTTTCACTCTGAGATTGGATGTTCAAGTCTTGGAGATCAAATTAGAGTTCGGTGGTTGACCGTTATACTAACTTAACTAGGTTTGTTTCCGAGAGTAAAGGAATAACGGGCGTGGTCAAAGGCCTCATAATCTCACCAATAAAAGCCTATTGGGGTGGTATTTGGACAAAGGTAATAACATCACAGTTTGAGAAGGGAAAAGTTTAACTAACCCTTTTCAATTGTTAAATTTCCAAAAGAGTGCAAGCAATGTTTTAGGTCTGCAAAAGCTCCCAATTATGGCAAATATTATCTAGGGTCAATAATTTCTTTTGGTGACGAGTACATCCACTATAAAATGTGAGGGTCAAGATAGTTGATCTTTAATTGTTGGAGTTTGACCCAAACTCTCTATGTTTACTATTATTTATTTACTAGGGACAACCTGTGTGCCTAAAGGCACAGTGTAACTAAAAAAAATTGAACATTGAATTTGAACGCAAAATAATCGACAAATGGACATTGGTGCTAAGAAGCAAGAATAAAAATAGATGTTGGTGAAGTAATAACACAACGGACAAAAAAAAGTAGCTATAAAAAACCAACAAATGGAATTAAGAATTGAACAATACCAATAGTTAAAATGGTATTGAACCAAAAGGAGTTTACAATAATGGACTCAATTATAAATTAGTCTAAAAAAACAATCAAAATCCAAGGAAGGAATTATGCAAAAATCATACAACCCATTACCCACATAAAACCAAGAAACCAAATCCTGTCAAACATCTCGCAAGCAAGCCCAAAAAATGAAAACTAACAAAACTGTGAGCATACTCAAATTAAAAAAAAGTGCAAACTCAATTGGAATTTGAATGTTCAAGGAGTTTAAAACAAGATCACAATTTCAAAAACTCAACCGCCACTGCAACAAATGCCCAGAAGATTACAACAAAAATCAACACAATAGATTAAAATCAAAGCAAAACATTAGAATTTAAATATTCAAAAGCAAAAACACAATAACAACATATTAATAGCCCAATTTCAACTAACACATTAATAGTCAAAAGATTCAGGGAATCAACTTTACAAATCCACGAACACATACAAAAAAATCAAAATGCAAAAGCTCAAATAGATCTCTTTTTTAAAGCAATCAATTTCATCGACCAATTTTTCACTAATAGAACTTTTTTCAAATATCTTTTTCAAGTAAAATCCTTTGCAACTTCAAGAAAACCAGTAAGCTAAAGTGAAATCAACTCACATTGCTCTCATGGGCTCCGATGGACCGGCTTTTGGAAAAGACACTCCTAACCAACTCCCCAGTGATACCCATCTCAGATATGCAATCTCAAACCAGAATCCTCAAATTGGTTGTCTCTAACTATATAAAAGAAGTCCATCTAGAATTGAAAATGCTTCCTATACAAATCGTGAATGTGAGAAAAAGTGTAAAACTGGTAGTGATATACTTTATTCTGCCAGAAAACCAATTAATTGCATGAACTTGGAAGCAATTATCAACTATATATATATATGAAAATGAATCACAAAACTATAACAAAACAGAATCATAAAGAGTAGACAAATTCAGATGTGCTACCAGATCAGAAAAGCATAAACGACCTTAAAATTAACAATCCATAAATTAACTACCTCAAAATTGACCCGTCACGAAATTCATAGCACATTCAAAATTGCATAAAAAAATTTAAAATGGTATAAAAAATACACCCAAACTCACAGTATTTGTGGGTGTGGGTTCTCTTAGGCATTTCAACAAACATGTAATGAGCATTATGGTTGGGGTCGGGGTTTTGGGCACTTTCAGTGAGAAACAGAAAGAGGGGAGGGGAGGAGAGGGGATGGAGAGAAATATCTGGAAGATGGTTGTACAGTGTTGCTTTGCTGGTGACTATGTGTGTATATCCTCCCAGTCTTGCTTTGCTGGAGAGAACCCATGTGTGTTGTTTGCGCAGAAGGGGTGTGTGTTCTGCTGGGTCTTTGGGGGGTGGGTGTTTGCGCAGAAGAGG